TGATGGAAATGATGAAGAATACATGAGAAGGTGAAGGAAACATGAAACAAAGTAATAACGGTAAGTATTGTTCCTTGTTTAGTTGTTTATTTGTTTTAAAATTAGTTACACACACACCACACACACACACACACACACAACACCACACAACCACACACACACACACACACAACAACACCACACACACACACACACACACACACACAGGTCAGGGAGAGAGAGGACCTAGTAGCAATCAGCGAAGAGGCGGGGCCAGGAGCTGTGACTCGACCCCTGCAACCACAAATAGGTGAGTAGGTGAGTACACACACACACACACATATATATACACAGGTACTGACCACTTTGTATACATGTACGTAAGGTGGAGGGTGGCAAATGTATTACTGGTGACTAACACTTGAGGGGGATTAACACTTGGTGACTAACACTTGAAGGTGACTAACACTTGATGGTGACTAACACTTGAGGGGGATTAACACTTGGTGACTAACACTTGAAGGTGACTAATACTTGATGGTGACTAACACTTGAGGGGATTAAACTTGGTGACTAACACTTGAAGGTGACTAACACTTGATGGTGACTAACACTTGATGGTGACTAACACTTGAAGGTGACTAACACTTGATGGTGACTAACACTTGATGGTGACTAACACTTGAAGGTGACTAACACTTGATGGTGACTAACACTTGATGGTGACTAACACTTGATGGTGACTAACACTTGATGGTGACTAACACTTGATGGTGACTAACACTTGATGGTGACTAACACTTGATGGTGACTAAACACTTGAAGGTGACTAACACTTGATGGTGACTAACACTTGATGGTGACTAACACTTGAAGGTGACTAACACTTGATGGTGACTAACACTTGAAGGTGACTAACACTTGATGGTGACTAACACTTGAGTGGTGACTAACACTTGATGGTGACTAACACTGATGGTGACTAACACTTGAAGGTGACTAACACTTGATGGTGACTAAACACTTGATGGTGACTAACACTTGCTGGTGACTAACACTTGATGGTGACTAACACTTGAAGGTGACTAACACTTGATGGTGACTAACACTTGATGGTGACCAACACTTGATGGTGACTAACACTTGAAGGTGACTAACACTTGATGGTGACTAACACTTGATGGTGACTAACACTTGATGGTGACTAACACTTGATGGTGACTAACACTTGATGGTGACTAACACTTGATGGTGACTAACACTTGAAGGTGACTAACACTTGATGGTGACTAACACTTGATGGTGACTAACACTTGAAGGTGACTAACACTTGATGGTGACTAACACTTGAAGGTGACGAACACTTGATGGTGACTAACACTTGCTGGTGACTAACACTTGATGGTGACTAACACTTGAAGGTGACTAACACTTGATGGTGACTAACACTTGATGGTGACTAACACTTGATGGTGACTAACACTTGAAGGTGACTAACACTTGATGGTGACTAACACTTGATGGTGACTAACACTTGAAGGTGACTAACACTTGAAGGTGACTAACACTTGATGGTGACTAACACTTGATGGTGACTAACACTTGATGGTGACTAACACTTGATGGTGACTAACACTTGAAGGTGACTAACACTTGATGGTGACTAACACTTGAAGGTGACTAACACTTGATGGTGACTAACACTTGATGGTGACTAACACTTGATGGTGACTAACACTTGATGGTGACTAACACTTGATGGTGACTAACACTTGAAGGTGACTAACACTTGATGGTGACTAACACATGATGGTGACTAACACTTGATGGTGACTAACACTTGAAGGTGACTAACACTTGATGGTGACTAACACTTGATGGTGACTAACACTTGATGGTGACTAACACTTGAAGGTGACTAACACTTGATGGTGACTAACACTTGATGGTGACTAACATTTGATGGTGACTAACACTTGATGGTGACTAACGCTTGATGGTGACTAACACTTGATGGTGACTAACACTTGATGGTGACTAACACTTGATGGTGACTAACACTTGATGGTGACTAACATTGATGGTGACTAACACTTGATGGTGACTAACACTTGATGGTGACTAACACTTGATGGTGACTAACACTTGATGGTGACTAACACTTGATGGTGACTAACATTTGATGGTGACTAACACTTGATGGTGACTAACACTTGATGGTGACTAACACTTGATGGTGACTAACACTTGATGGTGACTAACATTTGATGGTGACTAACACTTGATGGTGACTAACACTTGATGGTGACTAACACTTGATGGTGACTAACACTTGATGGTAACTAACATTTGATGGTGACTAACACTTGATGGTGACTAACACTTGATGGTGACTAACATTTGATGGTGACTAACACTTGATGGTGACTAACACTTGATGGTGATGAACACTTGATGCTGACTAACACTTGAGGGGGAACTAACACTTGAGGGGGACTAACACTTGAGGGGGATTAACACTTGAGGGGAAACTAATACTTGAGGGGGGACTAACGCTTGAGGGTCGCCTCGTGTCGTGTGTAAATACAAAATTTTTCTAATGCTCAACGTGCTCAGTTCACAGCAGGAGGAACCCAAGTTCGATTTCCAGGCTAAAGAGAAGCTGCTCAAGACTCCTTGCATCTATTGCCGCTCTTAACCTAGCAGACAATAGGTGCTTAGTGTTTTAGTAGACTGTTGTGGGTGGCACTGTGCAGAGTGGCAGTGCATGACACACAACAGAGCTTTGAATAGTGACGAGGCAGTATAACACCTGTGTACACTGTAAAAGGCAGCATAACACCTGTGTACACTGTAAAAGGCAGCATAACACCTGTGTACACTGTAAAAGGCAGTATAACACCTGTGTACACTGTAAAAGGCAGCATAACACCTGTGTACATTGTAAAAGGCAGCATAACACTTGTGTACACTGTAAAAGGCAGCATAACACCTGTGTACACTGTAAAAGGCAGTATAACACCTGTGTACACTGTAAAAGGCAGCATAACACCTGTGTACACTGTAAAAGGCAGTATAACACCTGTGTACACTGTAAAAGGCAGCATAACACTTGTGTACACTGTAAAAGACAGTATAACACCTGTGTACACTGTAAAAGGCATTATAACACCTGTGTACACTGTAAAAGGCAGCATAACACCTGTGTACACTGTAAAAGGCAGTATAACACCTGTGTACACTGTAAAAGGCAGCATAACACCTGTGTACATTGTAAAAGGCAGCATAACACTTGTGTACACTGTAAAAGGCAGCATAACACCTGTGTACACTGTAAAAGGCAGTATAACACCTGTGTACACTGTAAAAGGCAGCATAACACCTGTGTACACTGTAAAAGGCAGTATAACACCTGTGTACACTGTAAAAGGCAGCATAACACTTGTGTACACTGTAAAAGACAGTATAACACCTGTGTACACTGTAAAAGGCATTATAACACCTGTGTACACTGTAAAAGGCAGCATAACACCTGTGTACACTGTAAAAGGCAGTATAACACCTGTGTACACTGTAAAAGGCAGCATAACACCTGTGTACACTGTAAAAGGCAGCATAACACCTGTGTACACTGTAAAAGACAGTATAACACCTGTGTACACTGTAAAAGGCAGCATAACACTGGTACACTGTAAAGGCAGCATAACACCTGTGTACACTGTAAAGGCAGTATAACACCTGTGTACACTGTAAAAGGCAGCATAACACCTGTGTACACTGTAAAAGGCAGCATAACACCTGTGTACACTGTAAAAGGCAGTATAACACCTGTGTACACTCTGTAAAATACAAAAACGTAAGAACATAAGAAAGAACACTGCAGCAGGACTACTAGCTCACCTACTGGTCTAAGCCAGTCAGGTTCAACTCACCTACTGGTCTAAGCCAGTCAGGTTCAACTCACCTACTGGTCTAAGCCAGTCAGGTTCAACTCACCTACTGGTCTAAGCCAGTCAGGTTCAACTCACCTACTGGTCTAAGCCAGTCAGGTTCAACTCACCTACTGGTCTAAGCCAGTCAGGTTCAACTCACCTACTGGTCTAAGCCAGTCAGGTTCAACTCACCTACTGGTCTAAGCCAGTCAGGTTCAACTCACCTACTGGTCTAAGCCAGTCAGGTTCAACTCACCTACTGGTCTAAGACAGTCAGATTCAAGTCACTTACTGGCCTAAGCCAGTCAGGTCCAATTCACACCCGCCCACACCCACTCATGTATTTGTCTAAACCTCTTTTTAAAACTACACAACGTTTTAGTGTAAATGGCAGAATATCACCTGTTTACACTCTGTAAAAGTGTAAAACAAAAGAGGACTGGCGTACGAACCCGGCAGACTTTCCTATTCTCTCAGACAATACACAAATATATAAAGATATTTCTTCCTGTTTACTGCCACTTTGAAGCGTTATTTCTCCTATGCCGCTATTTTGAAAAAGCCTTTTTTATAGTCTGATCATGTCACGTACTTACAAATGCAAGAAAGTCCCTCAAAATGAGGTAAAGTCGACCAATTCTTAAATTAGTTCAAGGTCCAGGTAGCCCTGCAAGATGGCGGATGTGACACGTGACGCGCGCCAGTTTTGGCGCCAAACTGGCAGCGTCAGGCAGCAAACACCACCACATCCACATCCGCAGAAACTTTCTCTCCTAAGCGGCCCGGATGTTGGCCATACCAGGATTTGTAACTAACGGAATAATTACCAGTTTATTAGAGGTAATTCGAGTGAACGAAGTGTAGAGCTGAGTCAACAGGGAGACGCCAGAGAGCGCTTACACTGTAGGTTATCAAGTTGTTAAAGTATCGAGTGTAACTGTTATTAGCGTTCACCTCCCTCCTCGCAACCTCTCTCATGGACTAACATTTCTAGAATAATCTAAATCAAGTGGCACGAATGAGAGGCTGATAAGCTTCCCGATAAGCGATATCGGAGGGCGATAAGCTGGCAGTCATGTTTGTTCGTCTCTTGACGTAGGTACCAGGATACCGCCTTGCCCACCTGCCCTCATGCCCGCAGCCTCAAGGCTCACCTGGGCATGGTCCAGAGCCTGACTGTGGCACTTAATAACACTGCACTGATGGCTCTCTCACTTTCTCGTCCCTAGCGGTCGAGAAATACTAGTGGTCGGACTAATATAAAGGTTATTATTTAACGGCTGGTGTAAGGGAGAGTGAGTTCTATGACAAGGAGACAAAGCGACCACAACACATCAAGAACACTGGTGATTACGTGGGGGAAGAGGGAAGGGGGTTCTTGTGCCTGGTTCCCCCTCCCTGGGGCAAGAATGGGGGTGGCACTACCCCCTACACCCCCAACATTGACAACCTCCTGGAAAGGTGCAACACCTGCCTGTGTCTTCCACACACACACACACGACCCACTCCATCTCCCTCAACACCTGACTTCCTTCCGACCTCCAGCAGGCTTCCGGCCTCCAACAAGCAGCGGTGAGGAAGGAAAGCGAGTCTGAGGGCGCACAGGTGAGCCCCTCTGCCTCTCACCTGCCTCACCTCCCCCCCATCTCTCCCAGGCAGCGGGAGGGACATGAGTTAGTCGTAGTCAGTACTCCAGGCCCATCACAGCGCTTACTGGTAAGTCCAGGAGGACTTTTCTCACCCTAAACCTCATTCCAGATCTTCCAGACTTCCCAGATCTTATAGATCTTCCAGTCTTACAAACCATGTTCATATACCTCACACAGGACCCACAGAATTCCAGCAGCATCCTCACCTCTTCCTCTCTGTCCATCCTCGACGTTCCAGGATCCAGAGATATGCTGGAACGCCTTAATTATCCCACGAGGGAAAAGATAGTACTGGAAAGATTAATGCTTTTATCGTTTTATCTCCCGGGGAATATAATGACTGTTCCTCAGCTCGACAGATCCGCTATCGGTCATATCTGTATGTGAGCACACACTAAAATCTTATCTCATTCAACTATCACATCGAGGCAAAGCTCCCTGGAACTATCAGCCTATAAGAGAGCCTCTTCAACCATAGCTGCTGGAAGGTGCCGCATTCCAGCTATAGGCGGCCGCAGAAATGGAGAATGCGCGACCCCAGCCGCGGTGGCACCCGCCCCTCCAGAGCGACCCATGGCCAGCAACAAGTGGCACCCAGCTGCAGTGCCACACACATGTGCCATATTCACGGTCTCTCACAGTGTTGTTATTATATAGTGCCAGGCACCTTGAATAAATAAAATAGTGAACATTTACAGTGCCCAGGGCAAAGCTTATCATATACAGTGCGATACTCTTTATGGCACACTCAATGCAACATTGCATGTAGCAAAGTGATATTTAGGATGTAATTAAGTGCTACGCTAGGAGTGTCATTGTGCCACATTTACAGTGCCACACTTGATCTAATATTTAAAGTGTAAAGACCACAGTGCCATTCCTCAGCATACATCTCACAGTGCCACACTCTTACTTGTCCTTTGAGTGCCGATTACCATGTACGGTCAGTGCAATTCACATGTCCAACCAAAAAAGGTATATGTGCCATTCCTAGTGCACAGTGCCACTTGTGCCATTCCTCGTGCACAGTGCCACTTGTACCATTCTTCGTGCACACTGCCAGTCTTGTAATTTCTCACACAGTGCCAGTTTCATGATGTTATTCCTAGTTACTAGAACACAGTGTTATTCCTAGTTATTAGCACAGTGCCACTTATAGTTACTAGCAGTGCCATTCCTAGTTACTAGCAGTGCTATTCATAATTACTAGCAGTGCCATCCATAGTTACTAGTAGTCAGTCTCACAGTGCCATTCCTAGTTACTAGCACAGTGTCAGTCTCACAGTGCCATTCCTAGTTACTAGCACAGTGTCAAGTCTCAAAGTGCCATTCCTAGTTACTAGCAATGTCAGATTCACAGTGCTATTCTTAGTTATTAGCACAGTGCCATTCCTCGTTACTAGCACAGTGTCAGTCTCACAGTGTCATTCACAGTTATGGATCTGTAAGTTGATAAGTGTTGTTACTACTATGTTGTGTACACTGTGTTACTGCTATGTTGTGTGTACTGTGTTACTGCTATGTTGTGTACACTGTGTTACTGTTATGTTGTGTGTACTGTGTTACTGTTATGTTGTGTACACTGTGTTACTGTTATGTTGTGTGTACTGTGTTACTATGTTGTGTGTACTGTGTTACTGTTATGTTGCGTACCCTGTGTTACTGTTATGTTGAGTGTACTGTGTTATTATGTTGTGTGTACTGTGTTACTGCTATGTTGTGTGTACTGTGTTACTACTATGTTGTGTGTACTGTGTTACTATGTTGTGTGTACTGTGTTACTGCTATGTTGTGTGTACTGTGTTACTATGTTGTGTGTACTGTGTTACTATGTTGTGTGTACTGTGTTACTATATTGTGTGTACTGTGTTACTGCTATGTTGTGTGTACTGTGTTACTGTTATGTTGTGTGTACTGTGTTACTATGTTGTGTGTACTGTGTTACTATGTTGTGTGTACTGTGTTACTATGTTGTGTGTACTGTGTTACTGTATGTTGTGTGTACTGTGTTACTATGTTGTGTGTACTGTTTACTATGTTGTGTGTACTGTGCTACTATGTTGTGTGTATTGTGTTACTGCTATGTTGTGTGTACTGTGTTACTATGTTGTGTGTACTGTGTTACTATGTTGTGTGTACTGTGTTACTGTTATGTTGTGTGTACTGTGTTACTACGTTGTGTGTACTGTGTTACTGTTATGTTGTGTGTACTGTGTTACTATGTTGCGTGTACTGTGTTACTATGTTGTGTGTACTGTGTTACTATGTTGTGTGTATTGTGTTACTATGTTGTGTGTATTGTGTTACTATGTTGTGTGTACTGTGTTACTATGTTGTGTGTACTGTGTTACTATGTTGTGTGTACTGTGTTACTGTTATGTTGTGTGTACTGTGTTACTATATTGTGTGTACTGTGTTACTGTTATGTTGTGTGTACTGTGTTACTGTGTTGTGTGTACTGTGTTACTATGTTGTGTGTACTGTGTTACTATGTTGTGTGTACTGTGTTACTGTGTTGTGTGTACTGTGTGACTATGTTGTGTGTACTATGTTACTGTTATGTTGTGTGTACTGTGTTACTGTGTTGTGTGTACTGTGTTACTATATTGTGTGTACTGTGTTACTGTTATGTTGTGTGTACTGTGTTACTGTGTTGTGTGTACTGTGTTACTATGTTGTGTGTACTGTGTTACTGTTATGTTGTGTGTACTGTGTTACTATGTTGTGTGTACTGTGTTACTATATTGTGTGTACTGTGTTACTGTTATGTTGTGTGTACTGTGTTACTATATTGTGTGTACTGTGTTACTGCTATGTTGTGTGTACTGTGTTACTATGTTGTGTGTACTGTGTTACTATGTTGTGTGTACTGTGTTACTGCTATGTTATGTGTACTGTGTTACTATGTTGTGTGTACTGTGTTACTGCTATGTTGTGTGTACTGTGTTACTGCTATGTTGTGTGTACTGTGTTACTATATTGTGTGTACTGTGTTACTATGTTGTGTGTACTGTGTTACTGCTATGTTAAATGTGTTGCACTACAGTGTTCAACATGCTGTTGCTACTGTGCTAAACTGCTCTGTCATTGCTCTGTTACATCACCTGTTACTTCTGTGTTACATCTGCAGTTACTACTGTGTTAGCTACACTCTTTTCTATGTTACATCACTCTCGGTATTTTGTTCGTCAGAAGTGCAAATATTCTGTTGATGCTTATGTTACAGAATGACCCAGTTAGGGTGGGTGTAAGTGTAGGTGTGTGTGTACGTGTGCTAAGCCCAGGCTGTGATAACACCCACCTCATGTGTGGCAACATGTATGGCACCCACCTCATGTGGCAATCTGTGTCAACATGGGTTTCATTCTCATTTTACTCATATATCCCATGCCACAAGTATACCCCTCTAGCAGTCACATGTTCTGATACTCACCTGTCCGGGTACTCGCCTGTCCTGCACAGACCTGTCCGGGTACTCGCCTGTCCTGCACAGACCTGTCCTGGCACTCACCTGTCCTGCATAGACCTGTCCTGGCACTCAGCTGTCCTGCACAGACCTGTCCTGGCACTCACGTTCTGACACCTATCACCGACCTTTCCCTCATAGCTCAAATTACGTCAAGAACTTATTTTCATACTCAGGTTAGAGTTTCACCTTAAAGATTCACCTTAAAATTTCACCTTAGAAATTCAACTTCGAGTTGTGGATGAGTGGAACAAACTCCCGAGTACCGTCATAGAAGCTAAAACGTTGTGTAGTTTTAAAACTAGGTTTGATAAACGCATGAGTGGGTGTGGGTGGGTGTGAGCTGGACCTGACTAGCTTGTGCTAGCAGGTCTGATGCCGTGCTCTTTCCTTTAAGTGGATATGACCTGGACCTGACTATGTTGGGTCAGTGGCATAAGCCGGCAGGCGACTTGGACTTGCCTCACATGGGCCAGTAGGCCTGCTGCAGTGTCCCTTCTTTCTTACTTCTTATTGCCGTATTTGTTTTACAGGTGTAGTGTGTACACGTGGGAGCCCCCTGGAAGGAGACACAGAGAAAGAGACAGACAGAAATACACCACGAGATTCCCTAAAAAGTCAAGTCCTAGCTTCGAGTAACCTTTCCAGGGAGACCATTCACCAGCCAAGTCCTCCTCAAGACATTCCCAAACTCACATCCAGTTCACCACTTCAGAACCTCAATTAGCAATTGGAATTCCCTTCAAAATATTCCTCAGAACTCACAATACTGATCTGCCTTCTCGCTTGTAATCCCACCAACAACACAAAACAGAAATGCCGTCCTGTATTAAGGATGTTCGAGGTACAGAACTCTTGTAAAACCATTTTCACTTGGAACCTGTATTCTAAAGTTAGAAATATTATAACACCATAGACTATATTACATATATTACGAATTATGTTAATGCACTGAAACTTTGAATTAGAAGTCAAGAATTACTTTGAGACAGCAAGTTATTTCAAAAGCCCATCTGAAGGCAAAAGCTCAAGAATTACTAACAGAGCCTCAGATAAGAACTCTCAATTTAGAAACTTCAAATTTCTCGAAGACTTAATTCTAATTCTAAATGAGAATCTCGTAGAACGTTAGACAAAAAAGACAAATATATTTCCAATTGGACAAAATTGAAAGAGAGAACTTCCTGGCAAGTGTAGTGATTAACTCTCGCCTGAGTCTTCACCAAGAGAGCACTTTGGGACACTCTGCCACATCTTACTGAAAGCACACCGTATGTATCCTCCCATGAGACGCTATCTCTAGGGCTCCCGAGGAATACATACAGGGCGGTAGTCCAAGAAGAACGTTTTCAGAAGCCCAGGGATACATTATACCACCTGAAAATTGTCTCCAGGAGCCCAGGGATACATTCCACTTCGGAACCCGCAGTCAACATCGTAATCATCGAAGAAAGCCTGTGAAACCCCAAAGGTAAACTATAAAAAATAGCTTTGAAGCCTCAGTAAACATAGGTCACTCCTGTTATGAGCACAGCCAATCAGACCTCCCTGACCTGACTAGTCCATCTTGCCTGACCTGACCACTCCATCTACAAGAGATCCCATTACTGAACCCAGCGGACCGGCCTCCCCCAACACCTTCCAGCAGACTGCTGAGCTGCGCAGCGCACCTGCTTCAGGTGACTATGAGTAGTGAGACCAGCAGTAGCGCGTCTCCCAACGGCGTCACACAGGAGACTGAAGGATCTCCACAAGGCCTGTCCTCCTCCTCCTCAGCTGTCCCACAACATGAAGGAGGCAGAAGGGTGGCCACCCCGGGGCTGCCTTCCACGGTGGTGTCGATTGAACCCTGGCATCAGCCCCAGCCAAGAGAACCCACACCCCAGGATCATCCCAGGTAAGACAGCGTGATAAATTAAGTCACTTGGGTATCTTAATTCTGAAAACGTTTCCTCAATCTAATGCAGAGAAGAATGGTTGAAGATCAGGAGACTGAGGTAATCAGTCCCTCAGTCTGATCTTCAACTCTTCTTCTCCATACTGGACTGAGGAAGCCACTAGTTGGCGAAACGTTTCCACAGGAAAGATACCCAAGTGTTGCACAAGTATCTAATTCATCAATCCTGTCGGTTCTCTTAACCATTTATCTAGAAGATATATATATATTTGTGTGTGTTGTGTTTTGTGTGTGTGTGTGGTTGTGTGTGTGTGTGTGTGTGGTGTGTTGTGTTGTTGTGTGGTGTGGTGTTGTGGTGTGTGTGTGAGCTTACCATGGTGTCTTTATTGGTGTTGATTCACTGCTCCTGGCCCCTTTTCTTGATCCCTAGTCTCAATACTCAGAAAAAAGCATGAAAATGATAATGAAATTATTCTCCCTTGCTGAACCTTATAAAGGAATCTTCAAGCTTTCTTACTTAGGAATGACAAAAGGACTTAAAACTCCACCTCGAGACTGTTGCCTGATTAAAGCTATCCACTTCTACCTAGATTAAGGACTGACTTTATTACTAGGTTTCTGGAGTGATAGAAAAGCAGAAGGCTTTCTACCAACCCTCCACCCACCCTTGACAGAAACTACTTCTCTACCCCAATTTAATACAGACTCGCTCCTTCCCGAAAATGATTTCTTGGTGCCTTGCCTCTTAGGACCTATCATGACTACTCTTACAGCTGTGTATGGAGTTCCTCTCTAAGGATCAATTACTGAAGTTACTGTCTATCTAACAAATACTTTGTCTCTGTAAATTGTTTACTGTAATTTTTACCACTGAACCTATCATTGCTTGTTAATTTTAAGTTAATTTTAAGCCTGCCCATAATGCTTTGCATACAAGGGGCTTTTGGCATGTACACCCAACTACTAATTCCTTGTACAACTATGTATCATGTCCTAATGAACTATTATTAATTATTATTATTATTATTATTATTATTATTATTATTTATTATTATTATTATTTTAAATTATTATTATTATTATTATAATCTCTCTCCTTCACCGACTTTCATGGTGTAACACACGTGTGTGTGTGTTGAACCCCAACAGCCACTTATGACTATTCTTGCAGCATGTCCAAGCCCCTCACAGGGTATGTACACTGAGAGGTGTATGTCTCTCAGTGTATATACACTGACAGTTTACTTTAACGACGTTTGTAAGTTATTAAAACTTTACTGGTGGTGAACAAGTTCTATACATGGTTAATGACCCTCGTGAGGTAGACAGGTTTCAAATTCCATTAACCAAACAATCAGGTCCCTTGTAACCGGCTTCTCTTTTTTTACCGTAATTATTATTCTCACTGACTTCACATCGTTAGCAAACAGCCCAAAAAAAAAAAAATAAAAAGAAACGACTGTAAACAATGCAGGAAAATGGGAGGACTGGATGTCATGTTTAGTCACTGTGAAGGATACAGTTCTCTCTGGCAGTTTGTTTACAAATAACAAATGCATATTGCAGGGCTCCTAGTGTTGATGCTTCAGAGACCTCACTCGTTACATATGCCCATCCTAGTACCACCTCACCTACTGTAACTGCCTCGTAGCCTTCACCTGTTTTTTTATCAACTGATACACTTCTCCTTGTACTTCCACCTGTTTATCTATCGTGACTTAATCTCCAGTGGGTTAGTGTGTCAAGAGATTTTTTCTGTGTCCAAGATGTTACAGTCTACCCAATCCTCTCTCTCTCTCCCCCTCTCTTTTTCTCTCTTCTCTCTAGTACTTGATATCCACTGCTCTATCTTACTGACAGATAAAAATAAAGGTCTACATGTGTATAAAGGTCAGCAATGGATGACAAATCATTAGAAGTGATCTTCAATGACCATTTATAAATCCAGAGAGAGAATATAAAAGACATATGACAGAGGTTTTCATTAGGTTAGGTAAGGTTCGTCAGGAAACAGGACAAGTGTTCCCTGACGCGGGTCTTAGTCAAATGATGACCCGATGTTGGAGCTTTTGGCCACCTGACTGAGGCCTTCAGCTGGCTTACCGGACCACCCCTTTAAAAATTATGGTTATAGTTATAACCACTTAGTTCTAGTGTTTCGTTTTGTGGTCACTGCCTTTTATTTCTGACTGAAGATTAATAAGACAGGTACATCCAGAGACACCTGCTAATAACTGCCCACTTACACCTGTTAATAACTGCCCACTTACACCTGTTAATAACTGCCCACTTACACCTGTTAGTAACTGACCACTTACGTAAGTTATTTAATAAGGTTTGAAGCCTAGACTGAAATCATTTTGAAGAAATGAGACACTTATGCAACATATGGGAATCTGTATTGAAGAAATGTTTCGCCACACAGTGGCTTCATCAGTCTTATATAAAGCAGGAAGGTATAAGGATGAGGAGTTTGAGGAAATCAGTCCCTCAGGCTGGAGTCGATGTGTTCAGCAGTCCATCAATCTTGTAGAATGTACAGCACAGAGCCGTACCATTTTTATTATTATAATCAATGGGGAAGCGCTAAACCCGGAGGATTATACAGCGCCTGGGGGGATGGATGTGGAAGGCATTCAGGCTTAATTCGGGGAACTGTAGCACAGATCCAATTCCCTAAATCAAGAGCCCCTCACAAACATCAAGGAACCTTCCTTGAGGGGAGGGCCGTAGACGTGGCTTATATACTGCGGTCAGATGAGGCGAATCAGGAGGAGGCGGAGTCACAGTGGAACCTTCCACTAGTGTTACCTTCCACTAGTGTTACCTTCCACTAGTGGTACCTTCCACTAGTGGTACCTTCCACTAGTGGTACCTTCCACTAGTGGTACCTTCCACTAGTGGTACCTTCCACTAGTGTTACCTTCCACTAGTGTTACCTTCCACTAGTGGTACCTTCCACTAGTGGTACCTTCCACTAGTGGTACCTTCCACTAGTGGTACCTTCCACTAGTGGTACCTTCCACTAGTGGTACCTTCCACTATTGGAACCATCCACTAGTGGTACCTTCCACTAGTGGTACCTTCCACTAGTGGAACCATCCACTAGTGGTACCTTCAACTAGTGGAACCATTCACTAGTGGTACCTTCCACTAGTGGTACCTTCCACTAGTGTTACCTTCCACTAGTGTTACCTTCCACTAGTGGAACCATCCACTAGTGGTACCTTCAACTAGTGGAACCATCCACTAGTGGTACCTTCAACTAGTGGAACCATCCACTAGTGGTACCTTCCACTAGTGGTACCTTCCACTAGTGTTACCTTCCACTAGTGGTACCTTCCACTAGTGGTACCTTCCACTAGTGGTACCTTCCACTAGTGGTACCTTCCACTAGTGGTACCTTCCACTAGTGTTACCTTCCACTAGTGTTACCTTCCACTAGTGGTACCTTCCACTAGTGGTACCTTCCACTAGTGGTACCTTCCACTAGTGGTACCTTCCACTAGTGGTACCTTCCACTATTGGAACCATCCACTAGTGGTACCTTCCACTAGTGGTACCTTCCACTAGTGGTACCTTCCACTAGTGGTACCTTCCACTAGTGGAACCATCCACTAGTGGTACCTTCCACTAGTGGTACCTTCCACTAGTGGAACCATCCACTAGTGGTACCTTCCACTAGTGGAACCATCCACTAGTGGTACCTTCCACTAGTGGTACCTTCCACTAGTGTTACCTTCCACTAGTGGTACCTTCCACTAGTGGTACCTTCCACTAGTGGTACCTTCCACTAGTCTCAGTAGGTCTTCGTCTTCAATAAAGATTCCCATATGTTGCATAAGTGTTTCAATTCTTCAACTTGTCGGTTTTGAAACCATTCATGAAATAATTTTGTTTTATATTTATTACAAGGAGTGTTGCATATTGTGTTCTAATGAGAATTATTAAACTTGCTTCAACTTTGTGTTGTTGGGGCCCGAAAAAGACTTTGTTTTGTAGTTTGGAAAATATACAGTAAATTTTCCTCACATAAAATCCGTCACATTAAAGCCGCCATTGATGAATTAAGACACATGTGCAGCACTCTGGTGTCTTTACTAGACATATGTGCAACACTGGTATCTTTATTGACACATGTGCAACACTGATATCTTATAGACACATGTGCAACACTGATATCTTTATTAGACACATGTGCAACACTGGTATCTTCATTAGACACATGTGCAACACTGATATCTTTATTAGACACATGTGCAACACTGATATCTTTATTAGACACATGTGCAACACTAATACCTTCATTAGACACATGTGCAACACTGATATCTTATTAGACACATGTGCAAACACTTTGATATCTTTCATTAGACACATGTGCAACACTGATATCTTTATTAGACACATGTGCAACACTGATATCTTTATTAGACACATGTGCAACACTGATATCTTTATTAGACACATGTGCAACACTGATATCTTTATTAGACACATGTGCAACACTGATATCTTTATTAGACACATGTGCAACACTGATATCTTTATTAGACACATGTGCAACACTGATATCTTTATTAGACACATGTGCAACACTGATATCTTTATTAGACACATGTGCAACACTGATATCTTTATTAGACACATGTGCAACACTGATATCTTTATTAGACACATGTGCAACACTGATATCTTCATTAGACACATGTGCAACACTTTGATATCTTTATTAGACACATGTGCAACACTTTGATATCTTTATTAGACACATGTGCAACACTGATATCTTTATTAGACACATGTGCAACACTGATACCTTCATTAGACACATGTGCAACACTGATACCTTCATTAGACACATGTGCAACACTTTGATATCTTTATTAGACACATGTGCAACACTGATATCTTTATTAGACACATGTGCAACACTGATACCTTCATTAGACACATGTGCAACACTGATATCTTTATTAGACACATGTGCAACACTGATATCTTTATTAGACACATGTGCAACACTGATACCTTCATTAGACACATGTGCAACACTGATACCTTCATTAGACACATGTGCAACACTGATACCTTCATTAGACACATGTGCAACACTTTGATATCTTTATTAGACACATGTGCAACACTGATACCTTCATTAGACACATGTGCAACACTTTGATATCTTTATTAGACACATGTGCAACACTGATATCTTTATTAGACACATGTGCAACACTTTGATATCTTTATTAGACACATGTGCAACACTGATATCTTTATTAGACACATGTGCAACACTTTGATATCTTTATTAGACACATGTGCAACACTGATACCTTCATTAGACACATGTGCAACACTTTGATATCTTTATTAGACACATGTGCACCTTTGATAATCTTATTAGACACATGTGCAACACTGATACCTTCATTAGACACATGTGCAACACTTTGATATCTTTATTAGACACATGTGCAACACTGGTATCTTTATTAGACACATGTACAACACTTTGATATCTTTATTAGACACATGTGCAACACTGATACCTTCATTAGACACATGTGCAACACTTTGATATCTTTATTAGACACATGTGCAACACTGATACCTTCATTAGACACATGTGCAACACTTTGATATCTTTATTAGACACATGTGCAACACTGATACCTTCATTAGACACATGTGCAACACTTTGATATCTTTATTAGACACATGTGCAACACTGATATCTTCATTAGACACATGTGCAACACTGATATCTTCATTAGACACATGTGCAACACTCTGGTAGAGTCTACACATACCTAAGTGCTACACATGTGTCTCATCAGCTTGTTGCTATATGTACATTATTATAGTCTCCATTTTTTTCCCACCCGTCTTCTGTGTGCACGTCCGTGTGTGCCACTCACTGGGATATGTTTGCGTCCGCAACCCACCACGCCCACACCAGCGGGTTGAACTTAACAGTGTTAGCTACGACTAACAACAACAGCAGTGGACCGCCTTCCACCTGCGGCACGCCCGTCATTAGCGAGGTGGGCGTGGCTACCAACGTCATTATCAGGGAAGACGTGAATCTGTCCGCCCACACGCCCGTCAAGCAGGAGGAAGAGGAAGAGCTCAAACATGCCTACACAGCCTCCTACGCCCACACCTACGCCCACACCATCCATGTCGCCCCCAAGGCAGAGGTAAGCACTCTTAATACCACCCGGTTTTAAGAGAAAGTCCACTACATGACCCAGTGTTAATGAGGGTGTCTTTTACGTAACCCAGTGCTAATGAGGGTATGCCTTTTATGCAACCCGGTGTTAATGAGGGTATGCCTTTTATGCAACCCGGTGTTAATGAGGGTATGCCTTTTATGTAACCCGGTGTTAATGAGGGTATGCCTTTTATGTGACCCGGTGTTAATGAGGGTATGCCTTTTATGTAACCCAGTGCTAATGAGGGTATGCCTTTTATGCAAACCGGTGTTAATGAGGGTATGCCTTTTATGCAACCCGGTGTTAATGAGGGTATGCCTTTTATGTGACCCGGTGTTACATGTTCATTTTTCCACTATAATCTACCTTGACCATAATTACTATCATATTCACTTTGTCTGTTTCGTAAGGTGCAGTCCAGGATCTTTCCTTAATTCATGGTATCATTTAACAAATCTTTGAGGACAATTGTGTTGTAGAGGTTTAGGCATAGCAACATCTTTATCGTAGAAGCTTCGCTTTCTCCACTGGATGGCGAAACGTCTACAATAAAGATACCCAGATGTTTCGCATGTGTCTAATTTTCACCAACATCTTGGGATGTTGATGCAGGGATTTCTTCAAACTTGTTTAATGTATACGCAAGACCTACTTCCACTAGTGACTTTGTTAGCCAGTGACTCTGCCTAGTACTTCTCCATCTCGCCTCTCATCACTATATAAGCCCGGTGGCCTGGTGGCTAAAGCTCCCGCTTCACACACGGAGGGCCCGGGTTCGATTCCCGGCGGGTGGAAACATTTCGACACGTTTCCTTACACCTGTTGTCCTGTTCACCTAGCAGCAAATAGGTACCTGGGTGTTAGTCGACTGGTGTGGGTCGCATCCTGGGGGACAAGATTAAGGACCCCAATGGAAATAAGTTAGACAGTCCTCGATGACGCACTGACTTTCTTGGGTTATCCTGGGTGGCTAACCCTCCAGGGTTAAAAATCCGAACGAAATCTTATCTTATCTTAGCGAATATCCTAGTACTTCTCCACCTCGTCTCTCATCACTATGTAAGCCCCATCTTAGCGAATATCCTAGTACTTCTCCACCTCGCCTCTCATCACTATATAAGCCCCATCTTAGCGAATATCCTAGTACTTCTCCACCTCGCCTCTCATCACTATATAAGCCCCATCTTAGCGAATATCCTAGTACTTCTCCACCTCGTCTCTCATCACTATGTAAGCCCCATCTTAGCGAATATCCTAGTACTTCTCCACCTCGCCTCTCATCACTATATAAGCCCCATCTTAGCGAATATCCTAGTACTTCTCCACCTCGTCTCTCATCACTATGTAAGCCCCATCTTAGCGAATATCCTAGTACTTCTCCACCTCGCCTCTCATCACTATATAAGCCCCATCTTAGCGAATATCCTAGTACTTCTCCACCTCGTCTCTCATCACTATGTAAGCCCAATCTTAGCGAATATTCTAGTACTTCTCCACCTCGCCTCTCATCACTATATAAGCCCCATCTTAGCGAATATCCTAGTACTTCTCCACCTCGTCTCTCATCACTATGTAAGCCCCATCTTAGCGAATATCCTAGTACTTCTCCACCTCGCCTCTCATCACTATGTAAGCGCCATCTTAGCGAATATCCTAGTACTTCTCCACCTCGCCTCTCATCACTATATAAGCCCCATCTTAGCGAATATCCTAGTACTTCTCCACCTCGCCTCTCATCACTATATAAGCCCCATCTTAGCGAATATCCTAGTACTTCTCCACCTCGCCTCTCATCACTATATAAGCCCCATCTTAGCGAATATGCTGCACTTTTGTCAAGATTGATGGACTGAACACAGTAGATGATGACAGCAGCAGCAACCACAACTTTCAACGATAAACACAACAAATGTGTCCACACTTTTCACTTTTATTTCTAATATAGCACGTTTCAAATGATTTTTAAGGAGAGGAGAAAGAGGGGTTGGGTAGAATGTTGTGGGCAGGAGCAGGGTATAGGGAAGATGGCAGAAAACTGCTACCCCAAGTCCATCCGCCTTGATATTCAAGCTTGATCAAATGTATGCTGCAAATAAATAGCCATAAAGAACGAAAAGACACAATACGGTGATTGGAACAATACATAAATAACTGTAGCCATTAATCACACCTCAATACGACCTGTAACTTAAGTATTCTCGCTCTGGTATATCTTAATTGCGCTTTGATGTCTCGCTCTGGTATATCTAAATTGCACTCTGATGTCTCGCTCTGGTATATCTTAATTGCACTCTGATGTCTCACTCTGGTATACCTTAATTGCACCCTGATGTCTCGCTCTGGTATATCTAAATTGCACTCTGATGCCTCGCTCTGGTACATCTTAATTGCGCTTTGATGTCTCGCTCTGGTATATCTAAATTGCACTCTGATGTCTCACTCTGGTATACCTTAATTGCACCCTGATGTTTCACTCTGGTATATCTTAATTGCACTCTGATGTCTCACTCTGGTATATCTTAATTGCACCCTGATGTCTTTCTTCACCTGGTTACCCTTCCTCTCAGGTGAAAGACGAGCTGGGGTCACCCCCTCCACCCTCATCTGCAGCACCACACATCACAGCCACGGTACATGAACTCGACCAGGCCACTTACGTAAGTTGACTCGAATCCTATCCAAGTCGACTCCTCACTTGAATCTACTCATCTTTTTTTTTCGCTTGTAATAAATCTAACCACTCCCTTTCCTAATCAATCAAAAATTTGAGTTACCCACTCGTACAAAATTAGGCGAGACAGATATATAGAAGTCACCCCTTTTATTAATGTAGCCAAACTTTCTTATTGAACTTTTATCTTTGTTAATATAGTTTACCTTTTATTGGTGTAGTTTTGTAGTTTATTTTATAGTTACTCCTTCATTATTCTAGTAAAACCTTTTTATAATGGTTAACTCAGTTCTTTCACATATTTTATTATTTATTGTAGTTATCGCTTGGAATTCAGGGAATTCCTTAAACCTTGTTAACGTATTACTGAACACCAAGTTCACTTGTGTTTACCTTAGTCTTCTGTTTGTTTATATAAATCAGCTGTTTGCTGGTTGTTTTAAAAAATCATCTGATTGTTGGTTATTTAATAAAATCATCTGATTGTTGGTTATTTAATAAATTCATCTGATTGTTGGTTATTTAAAATCATCTGATCGTTGGTTATTAAGTTTAATATGTTATTTAATAAAATCATCTGATTGTTGGTTAATAAAATCAGCTTATTATCTAAAAATCAGTTGATTGTTGTTCATTTGCCGACATCAGCTGATTGTTAACATGACTCAAGAAATCGTAATGACACGATTGCAAATAAACCATACCCCCGGCCGGGATTGAACCCGCGGTCATAGAGTCTCAAAACTCCAGCCCGTCGCGTTAGCCACTAGACCAGCTAGCCACAATAAGATTCATCCAACTAGGTATATTTCTACACCATAGGAAAGTTAGCACAGGCACCTCTGTGACCACAAATGCAAGTTTTTACAGACGAATCTCCAGCTAGCGTGGCCGTGACGAACTCTAGCTCAAGTCCCTTCACTGCTGGTCTAGTGGCTAACGCGACGGGCTGGAGTTTTGAGACTATGACCGCGGGTTCAATCCCGGCCGGTGGTATGGTTTATTTGCAATCGTGTCATTACGATTTCTTGAGTCATGTTGACGGCAGTGAAGGACTTGAGCTAGAGTTCGTCACGGCCACGCTAGCTGGAGATTCGTCTGTAAAAACTTGCATTTGTGGTCACAGAGGTGCCTGTGCTAACTTTCCTATGGTGTAGAAATATACCTAGTTGGATGAATCTTATTGTGGCTAGCTGGTCTAGTGGCTAACGCGACGGGCTGGAGTTTTGAGACTCTATGACCGCGGGTTCAATCCCGGCCGGGGGTATGGTTCAACTGATTGTTGTTTACTTGAATCAGCTGATTGTCATTTATATACTAAAATCAGCTGACTGTCTTCATCCTACGAGCTAATGTCTGTATACCGTCGGCAGCAGTCACCGTACGCAGTTCAGAGCGTGGTGGTGTACGAGCCTAGCCACCAGGTCGACCACGTGCACGCCCACACCACCATCGACGCCCACGGTCACGCCCACGCCCACCTGAGCAGCGAGGGCGCCACCTATGCCACTCTGGAATCTGCCCCACCTATCACCACCCTCGCATCGATTCCCTACACCGACCCTTACTATTACTACAAGACACAGGACATGTGAGTGCATCATAGATAATAATAATAATAATAATCTTTATTTCTATAAGTACGTGATACAACTTATACAGACCATAGCTGATATCAATGACATACTACTATATAGAAAGCCCCTGGTTATGCAGAGCATTTCTGGCAAATTAGGTCAATTTTGTCCCCAGGACTCTGGTGGCCTGGTGGTTAACGCTCTCGCTTCACACGGTGAGGGCCTGGGTTCGATTCCCAGCCAGAGTAGAAACATTGGACGTGTTTCTTTCCACCTGTTGTCTATGTTCCCCATCAGTAAAATGGGTAACTGGGTGTTAGTCGACTGGTGTGGGTCGCATCCTGGGACACTGACCTAAGGAGGCCTGGTCACAGACCGGGCCGCGGGGGCGTTGACCCCCGGAACTCTCTCCAGATAAACTCCAGAAACTCCAGGATGCGACCCACACTAGTCGACTAACACCCAGGTAACTGTTTACTGCTAGGTAAACAGGGACAACAGGTATCTTAAGAAAATACTTCCTAATGTTTCCAGCCATATCGGGGATCGAACCCCAAACGTCAGTGTGTGAGCTGAATGCGCTAGCAACTGAGCTACGGGACACAGGGAGATGAGGATAGGAAATAAAGCAGGATAGGAAGAATGGAATGAATAAAGAACAGATGGAAGTTGTTGAGTAGATGGAGCTAGGGAATAGATATAATAGGGAAGGGACAGGAGAATCGGGTGTGCGAGAGGACAGGGACTGACTTTAAGCAGATACCTAAAGTCGGTGCCAGATCAGCCGGGCTGTGGTTCGTACGTTGGACTGCGTGCGGCCAGCAGTAACAGCCTGGTTGATCAGGCCCTGATCCACCAGGTCTGGCCATGGACCGGGCCGCGGGGGCGTTGATCCCCGGAATACCCTCCAGGGAGGTAGAGGGAGGAATGAATGGCAGGCTTGGGAAGGCCTGAATATGTTGCTTAATGAGGGTAGGGAATTTTTTTAAGGAAATTATCAGGTTTTAGGGAAATTCAATGAAAGCTCCGATTATTTCTTTTGTAGTCTGTTGCTTTCCGTTAACACCTGAAGATACTGTTAATTATGTTGACCTGGGATGACTTCTGTTGAATGTTATTGACCACTTTTGTCCCTTGTTGCTTGATTTTGACATGGGTTGAATACTGTTGAGTATCACTGACCCATTATAACCGTCTCTGACTTCTGTTGTCCTCTCTTGTCCACTGTTGGCAACTGTTAACATACGATTCCTAACCACCTTTGTTGATTCCTGATGATCTGTTTCCTACTGTTGACTTCTGTTGACCTGCTGATCTGTTAACTTCTTGCAACATCTGTTGAGATGCACTCCTCGCCGTTGACCTGGAACTGATCTCAACCCCTGTTTAACAGGTACGTGAAGGATGACGGGCGGCGCTCGGGGGCGTACGAGTTCGTGCAGTCTCCGTATGGTCCATCTGGGGGGCACGCCCACTCCAACGCCCACGCCCACCTCCAGAAGTCCGAACCCATGTGGGCCGCGGGGCCCGAATACACCCCAATGCCTCCTGTAACTATTTACGCACTTATTACTGCTTCTTACGCATTTATTGCAGCTTCATACGCATTTATTATCACGTGTCGCAATTCTTTTTCCTTAGGACGATTAATGGGGGTTTAAAGCCTATCGACTACACGAGGGTCATTAAGGTCGCACGGTAACCTTCTTACCACTAGACAAACAAGAAGATTTTAATCCCTATATATATATATATATATATATATATATATATATATATATATATATATATATATATATATATATATATATATATATCGTGCCGAATATGTAAAACTGGTCAATTAGCAAGAACTCATTGAAAATTAAGTACTTTCTAAAATTTTCTCTTATACGTTTAAATATATTTTTTTTCATTAATTTTAATGTAAAAAATTTTAATTTTGCACCAAAAGGATCTTAGAAAACTTACCTAACCTTATTATAACAAGAGCAATTTATTTTAGCCTAACCCAACTAAATATATTTTAGATTTGTTTACAATAATTAAATACTAAACAAACACAGTGAAACATATTTTTTTCGTTAGGTTCAGAATGATTTTGACGAAATTATTGCATACACAAATTTTCGCTTGTCCTATATGGCAAGATGAACGTTGCTATTTAAGCCAAGATCGCAAGTTCTGCCTATTCATCGATACCATGCCTAACCCTTCTAGGGTAGGGTAGGTGCCTGAGCCCGAGCCTTTAGCTCATAAGACTGTCATTCCCATTAGCCCCCTTGGGGCGGGGATGGCAGACCAGAGAGGTCTAGCTTGTGGCTAGGCCTGGGGACAGTTGGTCCCAAAGATGAGGAGGTACTTGTGCCTCCTCCCATGGGAGACTTAGGTCTCAGACACTCCCTAAAGAGGGAGCCAAGGCCGGGCCACCACTTGGAAAAGGCCCTGGCCTATTCGGCACTATATATATATATATATATATATATATATATATATATATATATATATAATATATATATATATATATATATATATATATATATATATATATATATATATATATATAAAACACGCGCTCAGAGAGATATCCCTCAGGGTATATATCATCTGCTAGAATATTTGAGTCAGGTTAGGTTAGACAACGTTGTCAGGAAACAGGACAAGTGATTCCTGACGCAGGGTCTTATGATAACCTCCAGGTAACCTCCAGATAACCTGCAGCTGGAGCTTATGGTCATTTGACCGAGGCCTTCCGCTGGCTTACCGAATTTTTTTTTCTTGCATATTTTTTTTTTATTCGCCGGTATTCTCCCGGCCCGGGTCTTTTCCAAGTAGTGGTGACCCGGCCTTGGCTCCCTATCTGGGGAGTGTCTCGAGACCTAAGTTTCCCATGGGAGGAGGTACAAGTACCCCCTCATCTTTGGGACCAACTGTTCCCAGGCCTAGCCACATTCCCCGCCCTCACGGTGCTCGAAGGGAGAAGCTAGGCCTCTGGTCTGCCATCTGCCCCGCCCCAAAGCGGCTCGTGGGGATGGCAGTCTCTCTTTTTTTTTATTATTATATTTACATTAAGACGTAGACCTCCCATAACCTAACCTAACCTAAATTAATTTAACCTAATTCTGACTAACGAAAATATGATCTAGAAAAAAACAAACAGTAAGCGTTGAAAAACTGACGCTAAGGAAAACGTTAAAAAGTGACGTTTAAGCTAAGAATATCTTTTATAGAAAACATTGTAAGAGTATAATAATAATAATAATAATAATACAAGGTATACAGACCATAGCTGACATCATACAAAGCCGTTTGTCATGCTGAACATTTCCCGCAAATTAGGTCAGTTTTGTCCCAGGATGCGACCCACACCAGTTCACTAACACCCAGGTAACTATTTTACTGATGGATGAACATGGACAACAGGTGTAAGGAAACACGCCCAATGTTTTCACCCTTGCCGGGAATCGAACCCAGACACTCAACGTGTGAAGCGAGACTTTTACCTACCAGGCCACAAGCCACAATAAAATGTCACATTAGTTACACCTGTGGCCTTTTACCGAACATATTGTGGGTAATTCTATCAACATTAATAAAATTTCTATTGCATTTCAGTTGGAGTATCTACCTCAGCAGGAGGTGATGGAGCGAGGCACACCTCTGCCGCACCACACCTACATGACACCGGCTGCAGCCGCAGCCTGGTGTGACCCTTACGATACCATCCTCCACACTGCCACGGGCGAGACATATCGACGCATCGAACCAGGTCAGTGTTTAGTACCGTCACGTTAAGGGGTACGTAAGTTCCACCGTCTTAAGAACATAAGAACATAGAAAGGAGGAACACTGCAGCAGGCCTGTTGGCCCATACTACGCAGGTCCTTCACAATCCATCCCACTAACAGAATATTTGCTCCTAACATGTTAATTTCTCCACTATACTCTACCCTTTCCTTAATTCATGGTATAACTAAACAAATCTTTGATGACAATTGTGTTGTGGAGGTCAGAGCTTTCCTCAGACCTCTACAACACAATTTGTTAAGTTATACCATGAATTAAGGAAGCCATACCACGGGCGGGGATAGAACCCACGATCAGAGAGTCTCAAAACTCCAGACCGTCGCGTTAGCCACTGGACCAGCTAACACGACGGTCTGGAGTTTTGAGACTCTCTGATCGCGGGTTCTATCCCCACCCGTGGTATGGTTTGTTTGCAATCGTGTCATTACAATTTCGTGAGTCAATTAAGGAAGATCCTGGACTTTACCTTACGAAAGAGACAAAGCAAATGCAATAGTAATTATGAACAAGGTAGATTATAGTGGAAAAATTAACATATTGTTAACCCTTAAACTGTCCAAACAGATCTATGTTCACAGGTTTAGCGCTCCAAAAGTAGATCTACTTTTTGTACATATTTTCAAATATAACAAAAAAAATGTAGATAAGTTTTTTTTACACGTTTTCAAATGTAAAAAAACAAAATGAGGTCCACATTTTTTTACATTCAAATTTTGAAAAAACGTAGATCTACGTTTGGACCGTTTAACCCTTAAACTGTCCAAACGTAGATCTACGTTTGGACCGTTTAAGGGTTAAAAGATGGGGGGGGGAGTTTCGTGGTTCTTAACACAGCGCCTGGGGACGAGAGGCCAGCCGGTCTGATGGTGATCGCGCAGAAATCGACGCATTGCGACGCGTGCGACAAAAAGTCGTATCACTATTCTAGAATGAGACACTTCACACGTTTGGGTATCTTTAATGAGGAAACGTTTCGCCAGCCAGTGGCTTCCTCAGTCCAATACAGAGAAGAAGGGTGGAAGACTAGGAGCTTGAGGTGATCAGTCCCTCAGTCACTGGCGGGTGAAACGTTTCCTCTTGAGGTGATCAGTCCCTCAGTCACTGGCAGGCAAAACGTTTCCTCTTGAGGTAATCAGTCCCTCAGTCACTGGCGAGCGAAACGTTTCCTCTTGAGGTGATCAGTCCCTCAGTCACTGGCAGGCAAAACGTTTCCTCTTGAGGTAATCAGTCCCTCAGTCACTGGCGGGCGAAACGTTTCCTCACTAAAGATTCCCAGATGCTGCACAAATGTCTCATCTTCAACGTCTCGATTTTCTCTCCCATTACTTAATGTGTTATCTCACTTCACACCATGTTTCTTATTTTCCTCTATTTCCTCTTCTTTATCCCTCTCTATCTCTCCCTTCTTTTCATCTTTTTTCTATTTCTATCTCTCGTCTCTTTCCCTTTTTACTTTCTATATCTCCATTTCTCATCTCTCTTCCTCTCTCTCTCTTCCACTTGTCTATTCCCATAACAACAGCTCAAGTATCGTGGCATTGCATGCCAGACACCCAAAAGGGAAGGGGAGGAAGGGAAGGGGGTGGTGTTAGTGTTCACACAATGGCAGGACTAAGGGGGTTCTCTGAAGGAGGAGAGGTAGGGGGGAGACATCCCCCGTGGGAATTAACCCAGCCTTGTCGTCCCCTCCCCTCAGTCATAATACTTAATATTTGTCAAATGTCGGGATTTGGTCTGTTGGTTAATGGGGTTTAAAGCCTATCGGCTACAGGAGGGTCATTAACCTGTTCACTACCAGACAGGCATACTTTAATGCCAAGTGTAGGGACTGAAGTAGACTCAGTGAACATACACTTGGTGATATATACTTCTCAGTGTATATATTGTTTATATGCACTGAGCATGCCATGTACACACTTTTGGCGGTATATTATATATACAGTGTCTATGTACTGAGATATACATCTCTCACTATATACACACTTCTCACTATGTATTTGTTATATAATATAGTATACACATATATATATATATATATATATATATATATATATATATATATATATATATATATAATATATATATATAATATACATATACACTGAGAGATATACACTTCTCACTGTATATACATCCTAGTTGAGGTTTGTTCCTTCTAGCTGAAGTTTGTTCCTTTTAACTGAGGTTTATTCCTTTTAACAGAGACTTGTTCCTTTTAGCAGAGTGGTGTTCCTCTTAAGAGGGGACCATCCAATGGTGGTATATATAAGCGAGGACTCGCGAGTGATAGGGGATACTGAAGTAAATTAATCTGCATTTAGCTGCCTCGTCTGGAAGTCCTCATCTCATCCCTTGGGGGATTAGAGGACAGGGGTAGGAAGAGGAGACGCAAATTGGGGTGGGAGGCATGGGGGGATAATGGGGTTAAGAGGTGGAGGGGTGATAACACTGCTTCCCCTTGCTCCGTTATCAACACTATCTCACTTCCCATTTTCTTTAAGTGGTCATTTTCTTTTGAAGGTTGATATTTTAGGGGAAACACCTGATTATTTTATGTGAGAGTATATGTAAATTCTTTTATGAATCTCTTATATATAATGCTTCATTTAATAATAATAATAATAATAATAATAATAATAATAATAATAATAATAATAATAATAATAATTAATATTAATTAATAATAATAATAATTGAGAAGTCATTAGAAAAGCATCTATTTGGTAAGGAAAAAAAATCTTGTAATTAATTTGCACTGGTTAGCAATGGTTAACATACCATAATTTATATAAAGGAGTGCCGAGGTAAGCCAGTGGAAGGCCTCGGTCAGATGACTAAAAGCTGCAGCTGCAGGTTATCATATGACCTGCGTCAGGAAATATTTGTCCTGTTTCCTGAAAAACCTAATACCTACCTACCTAATTCATTTGCTCACTGTACCCGCATCACTGCAAAAACATTTAAAGGAGATGATTGCTGCTGTAACCTTGTTGATGTCAGAGACCAGCACAAGACTAAGCTTTACAAAGATGAACTGCGACTACTCTGTGTATGATGTCAGAGGACCAGACTATTAGACGTACTTTCAACAAAGATGTGTAACCTTGTTGATCCAAGACCAGGCTGCTGTAACCTTGTTGGATGTCAGAGACCATACAACTATAGCTTTATACAAAAATGAAAATAATGACGACCTATCTACTGGCCACCACACTGAACGGTCTAGATAAGTTGCCGACATTATTTAGTCGTAACATGTCTCATCAAACAAAGATTTAAAACCTGGAGCAAATATCCAAGATTTCCTAGTGTAACCTTCCTTCCTGGATTAAACCTATATCCTCTCATTCCAGCTTTAATACACGAAAATTAATACATTAAGCCAATTTGAAAGGGGTGGGCGCCACAACACACTGCACAGGATACATAGAGGTTTATTTCTACTAAATGACTATAACTATGACCACAATATTTAAAGGGGTGGACCGGTAAGCCAGCGGAAGGCCTCAGTCAAATGACCAGAAGTTCCAACGGCGGGTCATCATCTAAGATTCGCGTCAGGAAACGCTTATCCTGTTTCCTGACGAACCTTACCTACTATTAGTGTGTATACACTCGGAGTATACTTTAATCCCTAGTTTCAGGAGTGAAATATTCTTGTCTGGTGGTGACAAGGTTACGTGCAGCCTTAATGACTCTGGTGTAGTTAACAAGCTTTAAATTCCATTAACCAACCAACCGGGATTTGGTGATTCTAGGTCAAATACTCTCACTAGTAAAAATATTGGCAATAAATTCTAAGCAGTTTAGCCGCTGGTGTTGATGCGATAGCTTAGTCTGTTCAGCATCTTCGTTGAAACTCGCTCTCTTGATACACTGCTCCTATTTATTATCATGTACGTACGTACTCATACCTCAGGTACGTAATTAAGTATGCATCAAATGTGTGTGCACGTACGCATCAGAAGCGTGTGTACCTATTTTTAAGGTGTGTGTACGTATACTTAAATTACGTACAGTATGCAGGGAAGGATTAAATATGTGGGTACATCGTGCTTCAAGGACGTTTATACGCGCGTTTCAAGCACGTGTGCACATACGCACAAGGGCGTGTTTACTTACACATCAAGCACATGTGTATGTTAGATATGATCACAGATATACACACCCTTGCATGTTCTGTGAACTGTGAATGAGGAAAAAGTATGTACACTGATGAGAAACATACATGAGAAAGATACATACATAACACATATACTCACACTGATGAGAAACATACATGAGAAAGATACATACATAACACATATACTCACACGTGGAAAAATACATGAAAAATATACAGGGGTACAAACATGATACAAGCATGAAAGTTTAGACACATGTGCGACATCTGGATATTTTTATTGTAGACGTTTCGCCATCCAGTGGCTTTATCGATACAGATTCTAGGACATAATAGGAAGACAGTAGAACTATATACAAAAGATGAGGTAATCAGTCCCTCAGCCTTGGAGTTAGTGTTCACAGCATCGTGGTGGAGGAGAATCTGGAGCAAAGGCAAGAAGACTGGCGCTTATATAGGCGTCAGTAGGTAGGGACGTGTAGCAGACGAGGACATAGTCACTGGTAGGCGGGATTCCCCAATAGAAGTAGATCCTACCCAAATGGATGGGTTATTATAGAAGCAGTGAAGAAGGTCATGATAGATGTCCTCTGAACCAAGAATCCATGATGTTACAAGTGTCTGTCTTCTAATTATGTCCTAGAATTTGTATTGATAAAGCCACTGGATGGCGAAACGTCTACAATAAAGATACCCAGATGTTGCACATGTGTCTTAACTTTCATTATGTCGGTATTATATACCTTTCTGGCACACATGATACAAGCATACATGAAAAACATGCATGAATATACAAAAAAACACATATACACATAGGTAATACATATACACATAAGCGC